CTCTCTCTCTCTCTCTCTCTCTCTCTCTCTCTCTCTCTCTCTCTCTCTCTCTATCTCTCTCTCTCTCTCTCTCTCTCTCTCTATCTCTCTCTCTCTCTCTCTCTATCTCTCTCTCTCTCTCTCTCTCTCTCTCTCTCTCTCTCTCTCTGATGCCCCTTGCCATGATGCTGTTGAGCAAATTTGTGTTTGAGTTGAATGCATGGCCTGATGGTGATGAATGCCATCCTCATCACTCAGTGACTACCTCAGTGGTTGATTAAGTGTGGTTTCACAATGACCTGAATCAATGACAGGTCAGGTCCTGTTGTTGGAGTCAGGTCCATGACTCTATTTTGCGCAGACAGAACAGACGTTAATCATACTTACGGTCTGGTAAGGTGGTGCTGGTTTTCCCTTTCTACGGCCGTGTGACAGGCGCCCCTGACACAGCGGTTGTTCTCGTTTGTTTCAGCTTCTGGCGATGTGTGTAGCGGCGCGGCGCCCCCTGATTAGCCGCTACTGAGTCCGCCCGGCCGACCGCCGCCGCGCACCATGTCGCTGCCGGTGCCGCGCACGCTGGAGCCGCCGGCGCTGGCCGTGCTGGCGGCGCGCTTGCTGGTGCAGCACCCGTGGGCGCTGGGCTCGCGCGGCTCGCACTACCCGTGGGACACCAGCTGGCGGGTGTCGCGCTACGTGCTGCTGACTGAGGAGGTGGCCGACCTGCTACTGGCCGAGTGTCGCCGGCTGCGGCCGCAGAACGGCTTCCTCTCGCTGCTCTCGGACGCCGGCGGCCGCACCCGCCGCGTCCGGCTGCAGACCGTGGACGTGCGCGGTCTACCCGTGGACGCCGGCCAGCTGGTCCGACTGATGGTCGACCGGCCGCGCGTGCTCCGCTTCGACTCGGCCGTGGAGTTCTCGGCGGACAGTCTGTGCGCGTTGCGCGACCGGTGTGTCCAGCTGCGCCAGCTGACCGTCAGCGGCCGCTCGGCACCCACGCCCATGTTCATGGACGCGTCGCTGCGAGCCACCGACCTGGAGAAGCAGCTGGCCGCCGACCAGCCGGCGCTGCTGCCCTGTCCGCAGCTGCGCTCGTTCACCATGGTGGGGTCGGCGTCAGTTCGGTTCTGTCCCACCCAGAGCTACCTGGACGCCCTGCTGCGGGGCTTCTCCTCGCTGACTCACCTGGAGCTGAGCAATGTCTACTCGGACGTGGACGTGTCGTTTGTGGCGCGTATGCCGCGTCTGGTGGCGCTGGTGCTGCACAACGTCAGTATCGTCTCGATGGAGCGTCTAGCCTGCCTGTCCGAGCTGCGTCATCTGGACATCTCGTCTCCTCCGCCGGTCGCGGGCCGCCGCCGCCGGCCGCCGGCCGACCCGGACCGGCTGCTGGAGCGACTGGTGCGCGGAATGCCACATCTCGAACACCTGGATATATCGGGCACGGCGCTGGCCGGGCCGGGCGTGCACTGCTGCCCGGCCACCGAGCCGCACAAACTCTGCGACATTGTCGGCCTGAGCAGCCGCGTCGGACGGCCACTCCAGTTCCTGGGTATCTACGGCTGCAACGCGTCCCACCGGAAACACATCCCGGCGCTGCGGATCGGGGGCGACATCGGCGAGACGCAGCTGCTGCTGGCGGCGGCCGCGCACCGGCGCCACGTCTTCATGGTGGCCGACGTGCTGGAGCAGCTGGAGATGCTGCTGCAGATGAACAACGGCGTCACCCGCTGGCAGGAGATCCTCCACCTGGCGCTCGACTCCATGGATGAGTTCTCATTCTGCAAGGATATTCATATCCGGTGCGGCGCCATCATTCAGACCATCACGTCCAGCCGCGTGTGGCACGCGGCGCTCACTGAGGTGGAGCGGCAGCGCGTGCTTCGGCAGCTGTTCCGCTCGGTGGCTCTCTACCGCAAGTCGGTCCGGCTGCGACACTTCATCGCCATGACCCTCATGAACTTTGACGTGCCCCGGGAGATGATGTTTTGCTTCGAGGGTTTCCTAGACACGCTGAGTCATATGCTGAGCGGTCTGCTCAGCGAACGGGACAATTTTGTGGAGCGCGTACTTATCTTCTTGCTGAACAAGACCTGCTGCGATGTGGATGGCCGTCGAAAGGTGATGGTGGGAGAGCGAGGTCTGGTGAAGATGCTGCTGAAAGCCATCCACGCCCGCCTGCAGGACCACATCTGCGACGACGTGATGTGCTGCCTGTGGTCCTGTCTGTGGAACGTCACGGACGAGACACCGGAGAACTGCGCGCTGTTCCTCGACAACCGGGGCATGCGCCTCTTCACCCAGTGTCTGTCCAAGTTCAAGACGGACTCGGGCGACCTAGTGCGCAATATGATGGGTCTGGTGGGTAACATCGCCGAGGTACAGCACCTGCGCGCCCACTTCATGACCAAGGAGACGGTGGAGACGTTCCTGCGACTGCTGAACTACTCGTCTGCCGACCTGGAGATCAGCTACCACGCGGCCGGCGTGCTGTCCAACATGCTCTCGGACGGGCCGGCGGCCTGGACGCTGTCCGAGCCGGGCTGCGTCGAGGTGTCGGCCCGCCTGGAGCGCGCCGTCCGCGGCTGGAACGTGATGGCCGAGCGCAGCATCAACTACCGCAGCCTGGCGCCCATCATCCGGCTGCTGCGCTGTGACGTGCCGGAGAGCCAGCTGTGGGCCGCCTGGGCGCTGGCCAACCTGACCCAGGCGGTGCCGGAGCGCTACGGCCGTATGGTGGAGGAGGAGGGCGGCGCGCGCCTGCTGCGCCTGGTGGCCGCCGCGGGAGACCAGGGCAGCTACCTGGTGCGGCTGGCGCAGCTCTGCCTCGGTACTGTGGATAGATACCGGGACGGCGGCGACGGCGACGGGCTGGCCGCCTGAGCCAGAGTCGGACTCAACTGTGATATGTGTGGACGCGCCGGCGCCGGCCGCGGGCGCAGCGCTGGAGCCGCGGGACTGATACCAGAGGGCACAGGCGTGCCGCACTATGTTCAGTGCCGTCTTATTGCGTCACGCCGCACGAAGATATGGTTAACTCTGCGCGTGTGGCGTCTCACAGTAGGCACCGATAGACCGTATTACGTTTTACCTACTTGGTTTGCCTCGAATATGCTATCTGTGTGTATCGGCTTACGTTGTCGATGGAAGCAATTTTCTGTTACCCGGTGTTAGTGGGATTAGGAAGCTAACACAACTGCGGATAACTTTTTCAACGGATCGTGTGGGCTGCCAATTCGGACCGAGCACCGGGAGTAACGCGGATGTCTTTGATCTACACTAACATGTTATCCCTGGCTTCACCCGCGGCAGTGCTGCGACCTTGCAATATTTCACCGGGCGCCGGCGGATTCATTTGTACACCTTCATAGTGTTCTATTGAAATGTTTTATGCATTTGATATGTCTGCTGTTACACCGAACGCCAAAAGAGCCATGACCGTTATGGGCAGTGAGATGTAGGCAGTCGATGATGCCGTGGTCAGATCTGAGGAGTGATGGCGGTGTGATTTCGATACAGGCCACCGCCGCGGCCGATGTGCTTCTGTGCAGGATACCGAAAGGACTGAACTAGGAGAGCTCTTCATCGTGGACGCTGCTAAAAGATGGCTGGTAATGCTGAGGGCCGCCGACTGTCGGATTCTACTCTGGACTGGCGATAGGATGGTCCAAATGGGTGGGAGAGTGAAGGCTCCCAGAGGCGCTCTACTGACGGCGTACTTACCGGAATGATTCCAAGAAGGAAAACACCATAATGGGAATAGTTGGGACAGCCAACTCCAAAAATGGAAACTTATGACTTATCTCAAAACGGTCATAAAAAGCACTAATTCAGGCGTGAAATAGTTTTTTTTTATCAACAGCTCAATAGGACAAACTTGGGCTTTCCATGTGGTGGCATTGTCCTACGGTTGGCCCAAACATTCGCCAGATTTTTACAGCGGATTCAACTAAGTCACTTTTTCGGTTGATGGTCTGTAGAAAGAAAAACTTTATGTAACCTGCGAGAAATGCGAGGATATTCAGTGGTGCTCGTGCAATTTTGTCACTTGGATATTCAATAAATACCTTATGCTGTTGTCGAAGTTTTGCGAACAGCCTTGGCATCACATATAACGGACGGATATTTTTTATGAGTCAAACTCAATTGGATGTGAAGCTAACTGCGACTCTGCGAACTGATACGGGATAAATTTTTCGTTCCGTTCTGTTTGTTTTGTTGGGTTAGGCTTTTCCGGTCTAACAAGACCCAGAGCCGGATGAGTGACTAGTGGGAGAAGTTGGTCTGCCCCTGGTGCTTCGCCGGGCTGAGCTCCATGGGGGTTTGAGAAGTGGAGAAGGAGTTAAATATCCTAAGGATGGAACGACGGAACGGGGGTTTTCTTGTTTACTCGTGCAAGTACCTATACGGGCTCCGGCTGGCTCGGTTGCAATTTGTAAATACGCATCCGGCTGCTTGGGTCCCTTGGTAACTGTATATCTGTATATCTATGCTTGGTAATGCCTCGGTAGGAAATGGCAATGAAGGAATACTTGTAAAGGGTGATTTGGAAGCTCCGATATTGCGTGGATCTGGAAGCGGCTGCTGTTTCCAATTGTAACGCAGACAAGCGCAAAATATCACCAAATATCACGCATTAAAATTGTAAGAAAATATTTGTTTCGTGAGAGCGTCTGTCTTATTATTTTCGTAGATTATTAATAGATGTCCGAAATTTGTAACGATTTCATAGTTTCTTACAGTACAAAGGGACATGTTTACCGATCAACATTGTTGTTACTGAGTAGGCACTTTAGCAGAGGTGACCGGTAACTTGTAAAGGATCTAGGCTCCATTACTCGATTTTCCGTGCGATTTTGCGATAATGCTAGAATGCGATGCCCTCAGTGATGCCAGAAAATGTCAGTCTAGTGCTCTTGGATGCCGTGAGCCATACTGCGGAAGAATTATTGTCTTATGAAATGCCACGCAATATTGCTCATGCATTTTCACGGGTCAGCGAGCGGGCGTCTGAGGGTAGGGCGGTCGCTTATTTCGCCAGGTCGTCCGCGCTCTCATTCCCCTTGGTCCAGCGGTATTAGTATATATTAGGTCCGAGTGGACAATTGTGACGCTGTTGATACAAATATGTAACAGCAAAAATTTTTGGTTTTAGGTTAGGTTAGGTTGTAGGTTTGTAGGTTTTAGGTTTTAGGTTGGTAGGTAGGTTTGTAGGTTTTAGGTTGTTAGGTTGTAGGTTTGTAGGTTGTAGGTTGGTAGGTTGTAGGTAAATAGGTAAGGTTAGGTCAGGTTTGATTATGTTTTTCTTTTATTTCCAGGACATATAAGTATCATTTTTTGATTCAGGATGTCAAATAATGTAAGAATATGAAAACTATCTTTTAACAGTCACTCGGACTTAATGTATACTTTTACCGGTCCCGCAATGGGCAGGAGCCTGGAACGCACTGCAGGATCACTTCAGCACGCTCGGCAATGTTCAACAAGGTCTTCCAAACCTAGCTTCGCCTCCGCGCGGAGGGTGAAGGCCTCACCTGCAGGGCGGACAGTCCTCAGTCCTCAGCTGAATAGACTCTGGGCGGCTCGCGAGTCGGAGCACGCAACGACCGGGGCGGGGGAATCTCGTTCCGAACCCTGTCTAAAGCCGCCCGCAGGGCAAACTGCTGCTAGATTGACCAGCGTGCCGAAAAAGTCGGTGACTGTCATTCGCCGAAAACTTCTGCGGCCGTCCTGCGCCGAAAAATTCAGCGGCCGCATGCGCTGAATTCGGCGCATGCGAAGTTACGCCGGACGTGCGCTGAAATTTTCGGTGCAATACCGCCACTACGCCGGACATATTCGGCATAACGTGCATTTTTTCCAGTCTGGCCGTAGGTTTGTCTGATCATGAATCAGGGGCAGAGTGCAGTGGAGGAGACTGGACTGAGGCATTCCCATTGAGTGTCAAGATGTCAAGATGCTTTTGGATCTGGGAGGTGTTCAAGCTAATGCGATAAACTTCATGGTGATTTCCTCCCTTTGGACCCTTTAAAAACTGAAGAAATCATGAAAACAACATGAATGGAAAGAACACATCATTCATCATTCACCGAGAACACAATTAGTACCGACTACCTAGGAACCAATTTGTTTTTGCATTTTCAACCTGATTTTCAATGTCATTTTTGTCTCTATAGTGTATGTTCTCACCAATCTCCTCTATTGGGTTGTTTGGTTTCAGGCATCCCATTTCAGGGTATCAAGTTAAACATCATCGCCTAAGAATGCACTAGCACTATTGTGATACCAATTACCAAGTCCATTGCATTGTGTTAACTCTGTGTTGAAAATTGAGCATTAAGATGAAGGAATCCAAGCACAAAGGCATCGTTCTGTTGTGCCTATTGTGCTTAAGTGCTGCTTTGGTTGAGTCATTACCAGACCAGGGCATTTGGGATTTCTCTATAACTCAGGTGAGTGACACGGTTTATTGTTGATTGGGCCACCCTGACTCATATGTCAACTGAATTGATTTCCCATTGAATTGGAAAGATTCACGTCGCATTTCACGCATGCTCGTACTCAGTAGTTTGTTATCAATGCATGTTGGTGCGTGGATCAATCCACATCACAACTTGTGAATTATTTTCTTTCTCGATGTAGACAATGTGCACCTATTTTCTTTCTTTGCAGCCTGATGAGTATGTGGGTGTCTCGAAGAGTCTGTACAAGGGTTCAGACATAATTATTAAAGTAACGTGCGGCTCCGATCACACCAATATCTCGGTCGGATGGATGATACGACAAACACCCTGCTGGAACGAATACCTCGCCCTGGAAAATCAGGTCAGATGCCTTATAATGACGGCAGTGTGTTTGTTCTTTTCCTGCTGTCATGTCTAGTTTATTGTGTTATTCACTGACAGTTTTGTAGACGCTGATTTTGGGTCATGTTTAAACTTGGTCGACTCTTAGTCAAAACCATTTTCCAATGCCGATTACGTGTCATTTTTACATTTTTAATTTGGTGCCAGTGGATGCAATTGAAAAGCGTGCTCTCTGTCTTCGATAAATACTGTCTCTGTGTGCCGTACTAACGAGTGACGAAGATCCGTTTTACGCTCTTCATGCGAGTAAAACTACTCAGTGTCGGCCCCGTTTGCCGAAGACGGCGTCTTATTACATGTGTGACGTGTTGACGTGTGCGCGGCAGGCCGGGAGGAACAGCAACCTGTCGTACATATACGACAACCCGCAGTACCTGCCGAGTGCCGTGCCACAGCCCTACTACAACAGCACCTGGTTCTACGTGTACCCAGAGAGACCCTTCGCCTGCGACGCCGTCGTTCTGGTGGGTGCAGCCGTCATTGATTATGCATGCATACAAACATTCATGAATCATGCATGCACATGAATACGGGGAAGCACCGCTAAAATCACACGTACACAACATGAAAACACACTTGACACTGAAGTATTAATTGGCTATATTTGTCATTTTTCTGATATAACCAGCGGTAACGAATCGTTTTCTTTCAGCCGGAGGTTAAAATCAACCCTGATGATGGAACGGTGTCTATTCCGGCGACGTCTACGGACAGCGATACCGGGGATGCCCCCAGCACGGTGAGTCAGGGTTACGGCACTCTGATGTGACGCTGAGATAGACCAGCAGAACGGCTTCTGGCTTTGTCTTCAACGTAATGCCTCGGTGTGGAACATCGATGTTTCGTTTTTTGTCGTGCAATTTAATTGCAGTCGCGTTACGCGTAACATTCGTTGAACTACCTAAATGGCCATGAACAGGCCCATGTCACTCCACTTTTGATGACATATGGGGGCCTCAGGACAATAATGGCGCGGCGCGCCACAATCGCTTTAAAGCTACTTGCCAACAGTTGCCATTTTTGAAAATATTATTTTGAAATAAAGTTCCAAGTAATAAAAAATATTGTAATAAAGTTGTTGAATAAATCGATACCATATCTAACAACTTACTGAAAAATGATTTATTCATAGTAAAAATATAAGCTCGATGCGTTTTTACGTTGCTTTCCTTCAACTGCAGAGGGTTTTTAAATCGTCTATATCTTCAAAACCGGCCATTTCTTAGCATATTGCTGCTCTTTTTTATCGCTAGAAAATTAGTTGGACTTTCCAATGACATCAATGGTTGAACGATTTGTGTAGAATGTCACCAACAATCTTCAAATGAAGTTAGTCATTTTTACGTTGTAAAGGAATGGAGTACCCCTATCGAGCATCAGGGGTGACATCACTCAGGATCTGTATCTGATTGGTCGGCGGGAGAGTGACTGTACCTTCTATAGATGGCCTTGGCCATGAACTCCTTTTATTTAATCTGTCACCAGTGTGCTGCTGATTTTTATGATGGTATCACTGATCTTTATGACTGGACTTTTTCGTATGCTGTCATCTCATTGATGTACATACGCCATGTCTTTGCGAAGTCATATGACATGAGACGATTGGGTCCAGCTAGGATGCGCTGGAAATCTCAAACAGCACTTAATTCTCGCATCCCGTTCGCTCGGCCGATTACTGTGTCTAACGGCGTGCCCTCGGCCATTACAGAAAGCAAAATCCGGAGACGGGGAGCAGAGCTCTGCAGCAGCCGGGGACGGGGATCAGAGTGCTGCAGGGACCAGCGGAGGCAACCAGAAATCTGCAGCGGCCAGCGCCGGTGACCAGAGCGCTAAACCGGCCGGAGACAGCGGCGGAGACGGCAATAAACAGAAGCCGACCAAGAAAGCCGCGGTAAGGCATGCCGGGGTGCTCGTGTGCCGGCGGACTGTTTCCGATAATACTATTGATTGTCAATGTATCTTCTCACCGTGTATGATATACACCACATCCCGGTATCAGTTCAATATGCCACATTGCATGCCTCCCGATAATTTATTTTTGTCGTAGGTACGGGAGATTCCAGCTTGTTTCGCACACCGGCTCAGTTTGCCCGCCTTCAAATTGCTGTACGATCGTGTATGACCCCTTTTTTGTTGATGTTCAGCTCCCTTGTGTTTTCAAGTAGGACTGGCGAATACCTCAGTCTTTCCCAAGTCTCCCAGGCAGTCTGCTGATCGGCTCCGTGCCTGTCTCGGTCCATTTTGGCGTCATCTGATTGTCTTGCTTGAAAATGAGCAGGTCAATTCCGCGTATCACTTGTATGTTAAGACGATCTACTAAGACAATTAACAAAAAAATATCCGTTTACTGTTTAAGTTAAACTTTATTTTCGCGCGTCACAAAGCCAACCCAACTGATCATTTATTTATTTGCATCTCACCATGCCAAATGACGCAGAATGTATGGCGGTCGGTAGGTTAGACTCAGAGGCCCAGCTGGGCTGTTGGAGTCCTACCTACCGCGACAGGTGCTTGTTTTGGCAGTGCTTCTCGGTCTGCGTCATGTTAATGCCACGGAGAGCCCCGCGGGAGTGGTCAGTTGACCTTGGCTAAAGGGGCAGAGCGCCGACAAACCCGCCACATGCCGGCATATACCTACTCGAATATTAACATTTTGACTGAGGTGGCCGAATCTTCCGATGCTCGAAACTTCTGACGTCAGCTATGACGTCAACTCGGTCGTGTAATTTTATTTGACAAATGAATGCAACGGTTATTCTAAGTTATATGTATATCTTGCAATTGATTATTTGTCGTTTTTTTCAGTTTTCTTCATTGTCGCGCTTAAACTGATGGATTTCAACTAACCTTTCGGAAACCGTTTTCTATGCGTTACTCATTTTGGTCTCGACATGATGCATATCCATCTAAGTTATAATGTTATGACCGTTGCCACGTGCCTTGCCGACAGCGCGTGCAGCGAGCGGCGGCCTCTGGCGGCTCGCCGGCCCACCGTCAGATGCAGGCTCCGGCTGACGGCATCTTCCTACTGGTGGTACACGTGACCAGTCTGGAGCCGCGCCTGCCGCCCACTCCGCTCAACGTCACAGTACACATAGAGATGAAGGCCGACTACGGCTACCTGTCCGCCGCCGACTGGCCCAACTTGCCGGTACGTACGGCTGAAAGCTGGACCAACCTACCGTTACATGTGTCAGTGTGTGTTGGGGGGGGGGGGGGATTGGTCCGACCTGTTAGTATGTGACATGGCTGGGACTAGCCCATCGTGTTAGTAACCAGGACTGGGACTGGCCAACCTGCTGGTGCGTGGAGAGCTGACAAGATGTTCTGGTGTTAGCGGCGTGCTCTAGTGCACACTCTACTGAGCACTCTGTCGCTGGAGTGCCCTGTCCTGTCGCTCTGTCCTGTCCTGTCCTGTCCTGTCCTGCTCGGCGTGTCCCTCGTTATATCCCATGGCCTCGGATGGCCGGTACCGTTCGAACTGTTGATGACCGCGCAGCTGTCTATCGGCAGTTTTACTCGGTGATGTGCGCCGTGTACGTATTGTACGGCCTCGGCTGGCTGGTGGTGTCTGTCTGTCGGTCTGGCGGTGACTGGTGCCCGTTTGTTTGCAGCTGTTGTACTCGTTGATGTGCGCCATGTACTTGTTATACGGCCTCGGCTGCTGACTATTGTCTGTCTGTTTCTCCGCAGTTTTACTCGGTAATGTGCGCCGTGTACGTGCTGTACGGCCTCGGCTGGCTGGTGGTATGTGCCTGTCTGTCTGTCTGGCGGTGACTGGTGCCCGTTTGTCTGCAGTTTTACTCGGTGATGTGCGCCGTGTACGTGCTGTACGGCCTCGGCTGGCTGGTCGTCTGCGCCAGGCAGTGGAGGGAGCTGCTGCGCATCCAGTTCTGGATCGGAGGCGTCATCGCCATGGGCATGCTGGAAAAGGTGAGGCGTCAGTGGGTCAAGTGGTCATTGAGTCGAAAACCAAAAGTTTGAAGAACAAGTAAAAGCTTTGCCACTTAAATCCTTTTGTTTTCGTAGTTGATGTATGTTGTAATAGTTAATGGCTGAGCATCTTTTTATGCTGCAGAGCAGATAACATTGGTCAAGCTGAACATGCACTGTGTGACGTAGTGTAGCGTGATGCCAGCTGTGTGAGGATGTCAAGAAGGCCGGCGTGACGCGCCTTGTTCTGTGACATGATCTGCCGTGTTCCCGGCCGTATGCCATGAACCAGCACCGTCCTTCCATGTGACGATATCTGACCTGACCCGTCCCGCCGCCCTCCCTCCGTCAGGCCGTGTTTCTGGCCGAGTACGAGTCAGTGAACCGCACCGGCCACAGCGTCTGGGGCGCCGTGGTGTTCGCAGAGCTCGTCTCCTGCGCCAAGCGCGCCCTCGCCAGAATGCTCGTCATCATCGTCTCGCTCGGCTTCGGAATTACAAAGTGAGTGGCGAAGGGGTCGGGGAGGGGACGTCGGTGAGATGCAGCCGGTTGGGTGCTCTATGTGATCGGGTAGGTGTGCTGGTGCTCTACCGTTTGTGGCGTTACATGGGGTAAATCCGAAAACGACCAGCTTCCTACCAAAGTCGGCAGATAACAATAAACACAAGAAAAAACAGCTCACTGCTGACTACAGTCTCTAGGATCTAAAGCCGATCCCCGCTCTTGTTGTAGTTAAGTGAGAAAGGGGCACAAGAGGGGGAGGGGTGGACGAGTGTATGACCAGCCAGTGATCTGACCTCCGATCCCCTCAGACCGCGGCTGGGCCCGCTGCTGCACCGGATCATGGCGGTGGGCCTGCTGTTCTTCATGTTCGCCTCGATCGAGAGCTGCACGCGCGCGCTGCGCCCCAAGAACGACCTGTCGGGCGGCACGCTGGGCACTTCTGTGGTGCTGGCGCTGCTGGACTCGGGCATCTGCTGGTGGGTGTTCAGCGCTCTGCTCAACACCACGCGCACACTCAGACTCAGGAGGTGAGAACAAACGGCCGGTCGGAAGGGGAAGGGTGGGGATTTTTCGCTGATTTCAGGGGACGGGTTCAGGGTTAACCTACACAGGACTAGAGTGTGTGAAGCTGGGCTCACACAGAGGGTGCTCGCATAGAAATTTGGGCCTAAGATGGCTTGTGCCTATTGTGCTCGTTTTTTTTAAGGGACTCTGTTTTAACCGTCGCCCCGTTCTCCGTGCTTGCAGGAACGAGGTGAAGCTGACGCTGTACCGCCACTTCACCAACACGCTGATCCTGGCCGTGCTGGCCTCGGTCGGCTTCATGGTCTGGATGGTGAGGTTCCACCGCACGGCCGGCTGCCTGCGCCAGTGGAAGAACCTATGGGCCGACGAGGCCTGCTGGCACGTCCTCTTCTCCATCATCCTGCTGGTCATCATGCTGCTCTGGAGGCCGACCAACAACAACCAGAGGTAGGAAGTGGCCCCAGCTGCGGTCTGCTCCCCGGGGTGCCGCTCGGTTCCCAATGGTGGTAACCGTAATGCGCCGAATGCTCCTTGCTGATCAACCGGATAGTTGTTGTTCTGGCATCGATGCTCAGATGTTTAATTTGTCGTCCAGCTTCGCCTGTTACCGGCTAGGTTGCTGATTATGTATCCGGCATGTCCCTGTTCCTGTCCTGTTAACCGAACCACTACAATCGTGTCCAGTGTCCCTGTTCGCATCCTGGCGCTGGTTCCGCGTTCACCCCGCTGCTGGACGCCGGTGCTCCACGTCTCCCTGTCCTCTGTCTCCTGTTCTTATAGACTCTGACCGCCTCTCCCACCGTCCGCAGGTATGTACGCCTTCACGCCTTTGCTGGACGCTGGAGTCCGCTGTATGACGTCCCCTGTCCCGTGTTCTCTGTGTCCCTGTTCATGTAGACTGATCCTTCCCCCCGTCCGCAGGTACGCCTTCACACCTCTGCTGGACGCTGGGGACGAGGACGAAGAAGACGAACTGTTCAGGTCGGACGCCTACCACGACCTCAAGATGCGCTCCCGAGGACAGAGCTCGCCGGGCGACTCGCACAACCGGCGCTCGCGCAACAACTCGGACGACGACCTCAAGTGAGTGGCGTGGAGCGTGGAAAGACGAAGTTCGAATTTTTCGTTTTATCTATGGTAGCTACACTAGTCGGAGGACTGAGGAGTGAGTGTAAGATGGTCTCCATGTTATTTGTGGATGGTCGCTCGTCATTGTGCTGTGACTTCTTAAATGACCTATGTAGTCTTCCAACCATTTCTCGATCGATCTGGTTAAAATGCAAGGATATACAACACCAAATCATCATCATCATCGAAATGCGAGGATCTAGTTAACACGCAGTGAGACGAGCGCTGTATCCGCCATCCAGCTACTCCCGTCGCTCACCGATGTTAGATACACCCACCGGACTATCACCCCTCCGCGTTTCTAACGCTCCATCCGGTCTCGCTCACAGGTGGGTCGAGGACAACATCCCCGCCTCCATGGAGCCCGCCCTGCCCGCCATGGACTCAGACGAGGAGGTGATGCAGGCCAAGTTCGAAATCAGTAAGATGCAGTGATCCCCCGCGTGTGCCGGCCGCTCGCATTAACCCACCAGGCGGGGGCCGGCTGCAGTAATTGTGCTGTATATTCTTCCTCTGCGGTGAAGAGGGTTGAGCGCACGGAAGTGAGGTGCGTGCGAGGGTCCGAGTGGGCTGTGCGGGCGGTGGTTAGGTCGGGTAAGGGAGAGAGACGTACTGCCGGTGTTGAATGGGGTGTCCTTCCCGAACGGGTTGGAAAGATGGAGAGCTCCTTTGGAGTGTCGCCCCATATGAGGCGTTTCCTTCAGTGCCGTCTTATATGAGACTTATGGGACGAGAGACTTCGTGAGGCACGGGGCAGTGTGGAGGGAGATACTGGATTTTCCAAATGGGACAGCGAAGCCCGGAGGGTCAGCGACACTGAACGATATGCTTTGAGCACGGGACCCACACCACCAGGCTGTCTGTGTAAGACATCGGCACGGTCCTTACGGAACCATTACGGACGGTCAGTGACAGTGGATGATATGGCTGGAGCGCCGGACGATCCGCATGAGACACGGGACTTCGAATGAGACACCGGACTGTCACTATGAGATATCGGTACGCTCCTTATGGAATAAGAGAGGGTCAGTGACACGGACAATATGTTTGGGACACCTGACGGCCCGTATGAGGCATTTGACGGTCCATATGGGACACTGACTGTCCGGGTGAGACATCGGACGTCGATATCAAACGTTTGACGGTCCGTACGTGAGCTCGGACGATCTATTTTGGACAGCGAACGATCGATGATAGCCAATGAGGCTCTGGACATGACGATCGTGACGTGGGACGAATTTCGAGGGCGTGACGTTGATTTTCATCTGCGTTGTATGTGTTGTGACGTTATTATTTAATTGCTGCTGCACTGGTGTATATTGGTATGGCAATGTTATCTTCGTATCAAGTGTTTGTTGCTTTCAGGAGAGGTGCGTTTGAGAATATGCTAATGCTATCTGGACGCTTTCCCTCAGGCTTTGTGGAAAATTGCGTTTGGGTTGCTAGATTCGTGAAACATTTTATTAATGTTCAAGATAGCTGTTCGTTTGACACAATATAATAATCTTATATATTCTGGTATTTGTCACGTGATCGATATTCTACTGAGTGCTCTCTACTCAGCTTTATCACACTGGCTGCTGATTGCGGGACCTGGCTCGCTGAAATTCTTATAAGTTTGTCTTCAAAATGATCCGCGATGAAAGGAGTAAGGACATCATTTTTTCTGCCTACCTGAGACCAATCGTAAAGTACGAATCTCTTATGTCGAGCGTTGGGATGATAGTTTTACATCGCGCACTGTCTCGGGCCATTAGTTTTGCACAGCTGAATACTCTCGCCTGGATCGACCTCAGTACTGTTAAATATCTCTCACTTTCGCCCAGCGCTGGACCGATGGTTATGCACCGTCCAATATCAGGCCTTCATATCTTATGGGGCAGATGATTTTCTTCCATTCACCGAAATGTCTAGCATTTTTTTATGCATCAGAGTCCTGCTCGTCGGATCTGGAGTTGGACTGTTCGCGTTTCAACACAGGCTTCGTAAGTCGTTTAGATAATGACTCAATGTATTATAATAACGTGGTCTCCAGCTGTGCTCCTCGAACTTATTTAGAAGGCGGAAGTCATGTGACAAATAACCTTGCCTAACGTATTTATAAAAAAAAAACTGAACTTGTTTTCTGAGGCCAATTCAGAGTAAATGCTACTGGAGGCAAAATTACTCTGCCACTTATCCCAATATTTTAAAACAATTTTTTATATAAAATATCCACATGCCTTCATGGCCCGTGATTGGCAGGACTTATCTCCGGACTCGTGTTCGTGCAGTGTTCCACCCCCCTCCGTCCCCGTTACCAATGTCCGCGCGGCGCTCGATCTCTGCCGCGCCGGCTCCGGGCCGGTATTTTTCCGGCGTGCGGCCGGCACAGTCCAGGGGCCGGGCGGCGCCGATTGGCCGCCTGGGGCGGTGACCTCGCGTGACCCGCGCCCGGGGCGCGGTCGGAGCGCGCTGCAGTCTGCGGCCGAGCCCGGCGCCGGGCGGTGGACGGGTGACGGAGAGGCGCGTGGAGCACAGCCGTCCGGTCTGAGCGTCACTCCGCCGGCCACCAGTCAGTCGTCATGGCGGTCAAAGGTAAGAAAATGAGTTGATCAGCCTTTGGTTTACAGTATTCTTGCCTCGACTTGGTGTGTCTAGGCTGATAGTGCAATCATTTTTATCCAAATCGTAACTGATTATGCTTCGCTCGCTGTTTTACTATTTCATGTAAATTGCAAGATTGAAACCGCGCCACCGGCTAGCTTCTTGCTGCACCGAGTCAGATTTCTTTTTCAATTTGGCTTGGCGGATTCATCTGTCCCGTTTGAAACGGGCAATTAGAGAACGAGTTCAATAGACAGAAGCGTGAAGCTCTTGGGTCACTACCAAGTGATCCAAACATTAGCCGTCCAGTTTGTTAGTCTGTAATTAACTATCGTAGGTTCAGAATTATTGTGATGGATTGGATTGTTCTTTTCGCATTATCGACATCTCTGGTACAGCTGTAACCAGGTGACTTTGTCTCCAATGACCGTGTGATGTGCTCATCACCGTCGCTGACCTGTCCGGACGCGCACTCCGTTTCAGCGCCCGCGATAGCCGTGCTGCTCTGCGCGTCGCTGGCAGCGGGGTTCATACCGCCGCACCTGCGGCCGCCACTGTTCCCGCTGCCTGTGCCGGCTCCGTCCGTCGAGGCGCGTCCTCAGAAACACTTTACTGGCTCTGTGTGTCCGCCAGAGACGACGTGCGTCCGCCCGCAAGACTGTTCGCGTAAGTACGGGAGACTGCTCCGCGCAAAACTGGCTCATTTGCGAAATTCTATTTCGCTCGGCTTTGCTCCTTAAAATTTTCTTATTTTTTTCAGTCGTTCTTCGTCGCTCAAGTGTCTTCATTGAACATCGCATGACTGACTTTGCGGCATTGATTATTAATTTTTGGAACTTCCAAATGGCAGATGTGTGCAAGAGCCTGGTGCCCATGCGCATGAAGCTCTTGACAGTTCCGGTGTGAGCTGGTATTGGGTGGTCACGGCACGTTTCTCTCAGTATGTGGTCTGAGCGGTGTCGCTGACCTCACGTCCTCCCCTTTCCCTGTCCGCAGGTCAGTGCCGGCCCGGCTGGGATTCGTTCGGTCTCGGCAGCTGCTACTGGGTGCCTCCGGCCGAGGCAGCCGCCCAGACGGCCGCACAGACCGCCTGTGCCGCCCTCGGCGCCCATCTGCCCGTTATTGAGAACGCAGACGAGCTGTCGCGGCTGCTGGTGTTCGGCGCTCAGTGGACGAACGCCACCTGGGACGCGCAGCGCTCCTCGTGGGTGTGGTCGGGCACCAGGCGCCCGGTGCAGTTCTCGGCTCTGGGCACCGCGCGGCCCGCCGATGGTAGGTGAACGGCGAGGGTGACAGTTTTTGAACATCGCAAAAAAATGAACTTAATTCTTTCTTGGTGTTGGTGATATGTTTTCTGGCATAGTACAGCTGTTAGTTCATTACGCAGCGGCTAGTCTTAAGTTGGAGCAACCTCAGGTCTGCAGCGTTGTGGAAAATGCAACTAGGCATGTTCGATCGTTTCGTTCTGCCCGGATCTGGCCGCTACATCGATTATGCTTCTCATGTTTGATAGTTGGCTGGCTGCCTGTTATTTATCGTCACCGACTGCAACTGCTGACGATCCCCCTGCCGGCAGGCTCTGCGACCGTCGCCTGCCTGGTGGCTGATCCGGGACCGCCGGCCTTCTTCATACCCACGGACTGCACCGGGACGGCCCTCTACATCTGCGAAACGGGTCAGTATCTAACTATTACACCCGCCGTTCGCCCGTGGACCCCCGGGCTCTCGGTGGCTCGGCGGCTAATGCTCCCCCCCCCCCCACACACACAGTCAGTGTCCCAGTGTTTCCTTAATGCCCGTTGGTCCGATGCCAATCTCGCTCAATGCATTTTCCTTCAAATTATTGACTATTGTCTGTGCTCTCTCCCGGTGATTGGACCCTCTGTTGCCCGTCGGCAGTCGCCCTCATTGTGCCCAGGTGCCTCCGCTTAACATATTGCTCGCTCGCCCTTCTCAAATCTCCGCCTCCCGCTGGTGCCTTGGTTGCCTGTAACTCTTGCTCCACCTCTATCGACAGGAAGCCCCAGCGTCTCTTCGTGCGCCGGACAGAGTGGTCGCATCTGCTGTGCAGTCAGCGCTGATCATTACGGAGGTAGGCCGGGCGCACAGACTGGGTGCATTGGGTGGTAGGAAAGCCTGGAATACGGTATCCAGCTGCACTTAAAACCTGTGGCCGAACAATTTCGGAGATATTGGTTATGTGAAACTTGCTCCATCTTGTTTCCCACTTGTCTGGTTCCTAGAAACACAACATACACTGCTGCCGCATCAGTAATCTAACGTGTTACTGTGCTATCTGTTACGATAGGCCAATTGTCATTGACTAGTTAGCGCATTCATTTGATGTGTAGTATTTGATCAGTCACTGAAGCCTTCAGGTCTTTCGCTTGGGCTAAGACTGCCAGTGTTCTGGTCGTCACTGTCTGTTGACGCACTATGTGCGGTGTCTGCTGTTTTTGACCGTGCGCCTCTGTCCCTCCCCAGAGCCGTGCTACATCGACGAGCAGGGGACACGCTGCGAACAGCGGATCCGCGAAGGTTACTTTCCGCTGGGCGAGAGCCTGGTGCGGCCCACGGAGGGCACGGACGAAGGACAGCTCTCCTGGGCGGAGGCGCGTGCGCTGTGCCGCGCGGACGGTGGCGACTTGCTGGTGATCGACGACATCCAGGTATGGAGGTTTGAGAAAAACCTACCTTTGGGAAGAATCAACGCTCCGTGGATTGTCCTGTAGAGTGGTTGGGACCTATCTGCCGGGGATAATCTTGGGCTAGAGGACCTGCCGCCGTAAAGTTCGCCACAGAGGATCTGCCCTCCGCAAGTAGCCAGGAGTGGTGCAAAGTACAGAAAGGGAACTGTCTGCTCTAAGGGTCACGGCAAAATGCGTAACAGTACAGATTGCCGAAGGTATTTGGTTTTTGAGAAGTGTTCTGTTGGACTCACCTGATAGATTATGATTCAAATTATATTTGAAACCCTTCGCTGTGTAGTACTGACCGGTGGCGACTTTTGTGCTTTTCTTCAGATGGACGAGAGAATTCGCAGCATGCTGAGCGAGCTGGCGCCGCTCGGAGCCACAGAGTTTTACATCGGCCTGAGCTCTGACGCCGCTGGAGCCTTCAGCTACGTCAACGGCACGGCGGCCGCGGCCGGCAGCGCCTACCTCAATTTCGCCACGGCTGCGGACGCCGCGCGGCCCAACTCGTGCGCGTTCTACTCGGGCCGGGCCTGGGCCTCTGGTGACTGCAGCGTGGCGCGCGACTTTGTTTGCCACATCCGTCGCGTGCGCCACAGCCTGCGGCAGGAGCCGCGGCGGCCGCGCTGCGGCGTCCGACACCCGCGCGGTGTGCTGGGCAAGAGCAGCGCACGGTTCGCCCCGCCGCCGCTGCCGCTGCCGCTGCCGCAGATACCACCGCCGCCGGGGGGAGACGACCGGCGCGGAGCTGCGCAGTTCGGGGAGATTACCTGGCAGGTTCGTTTACCTCGCTCTGGATCCTCGGATCACTAAACTGATTGCAGAGCAACAAACCTAGCCTTCGAAGAGCCTTGAATGGCTAGCTGCAGTATGAGAGACGATTGCAAACACTGCTTATATTCTCAGTTTACGTAAACGCATCTACTTCCCTTATGTGCTTCGATTCAGCCCGAACCGATGCTCTTTCTCGAGCCCTTAGCGCCCCCTGACGGCACCCCTTCCTCGCCAGGCGGCCATCTGGATCCGGTCGGGTGCCAACGGACACGAGTTCGCCTGCAGTGGCGCCCTGGTGCACTCCAGCTGGGTGCTGACGGCAGCGCGCTGCGTGGCTGACACCGAGCCGGCGGACATCAAGGTGACGGTGGGAGACTGGAACCTGGACGAGACGCGCCCCGTCAGCCTGCCGCCCGTGGCGGTGGATGTGACGCGCATCCGAACCTCACCGGGTAAGTGACATGGTGGGGGGGGGGGGAGGGTTCCTTCTCGTCAGGGCCGGAGAGCGGGACTGGCCACAGCTGGTGTTAATGAGCGCCGTGTGTATCCCCGCGTTACTGTGTTGATTAGTGCCGCTCCTTGTTGGCTATCTGCTGCGCCTCCTAGCTTCACGCGAGTATATTGAACGATAGTGGTTAACACCTTAGTTTGTCTATAGGTCGGTATCATGTTAATAAGATAAACGGGCAACGGTTAACGCTTACGGGACCGCGACAATAGCGCCAAACGCCGCTGTAGCTTCACGTTGGGAGCTATTTACTTCTACACCTTTTTACGCCCAATTTAGGCGGAAGTGCACACATTTCATTAATAGTGCAGGTGATTTCGATGGTTCGGCATAGTGCCTTCATATATTGAATTGCGGCACGATGTTCGTCATTGTGCACCCCACTCCGTCATAGTGCAGTTAAAAGTGGCCCAGGTTCAGACATATTGGACTTAGTGCAAATAATAATTCGTCAGGTTAATTCAATTTCGACATACGGCATGTGCTTACGGCAACGTTCAAATAAATCCAGCACGGTATAAATAAGCGATTATGTAAACAAATCTCACCTTCCTACGCAACTTAAGCCCTCAGCAAAGCTCTGGAGCTAATGAAGAATGTGGGATGTCACGTGAACGTGAAATGCGCTACACCTTTTTACGGCCAAATATAGAAATAGTGCACACAGTTCAGTATAATAGTGCAACCGATTTCGACAGTTCGGCATAGTGCACCTCTAGTTCGGCCAAGTGCATGATATTCGGTAATAGTGCACACGTTTCAAATGAAGAGCAATCAATTCTGAAGATGGTGCGTTCAAATTCAATGAGCCGTAGGTTCAATTTCGTCATCGTGCACGGTTTCGTCATGTGGCCTGATAGTCGGCGTCCAGCAAAGCGATTTAGGCGATGTTCAAGTGAATTCGCTGCTGGATTGGGAAAATATTTTTGAAAGCCCCTATCTGCCTGTCAAGAGTAGCGTGAATCTTGGTCAAAAACCTGCTCAAATGCAGTTTCAGCTCTCAGGAATTAACTTATCATTAGTCTCGCTCTAAGAACTCGGTGACACGGTCGAGTGGCGGTCACGTGGCATTCAGGGCTTCTGAATCGGGTGCATAACTTCGTTGCTGGTTCAAGAAGATCAGAAATGCTATGGATTCTTGTTATCGCCTTTCAGCATCATGGCGAATTTGATTGAACAAAGCCGAAAAAATATTGCTCATGCCGAATATATAAGCACCCGACGAATTATGTGCACTATGTCTTATATGATTGAAGCTAAGGCACCCAGATGAAACATTAAATACCCTAGATTGCATCCAGAGCAGTGCAGCTGGCTACTTGACTTTTTTGCGTTGCTGACTGACTACGAGTGTCATTGGAGGCTAAGGTAGCGTGAAATGTCAAATAAAAATTGTTATTACTTATTTATGCAATGCCGTGTTACTGAACAGTGCCTAAATTACATGCGGGACCCCGAAATTGAAACGATCTGACGAATAATGTGCGATATGTCTAATATGCCTGAACCTGGGTCACTTTAAACCTGCACTATGACGAAATGGCTGCAATATGGCGAATATCGTGCCGCGATTCAATATATCAATGCACTATGCCGTGCTGTCGAAATCGCCTGCACTATTTTTGAAATGTGTGCACTGCCGCCTAAATTGGGCCTTTTCATTACATTCATTAAAATCTCGTTAATTTTTATTAGCAGTAAAATTTCAATAATTTAGTAAAATTTCATTAGCAGCTTGTTTGAACGGCACCACGCTACACTTGATGAACAGCAAGAGCGTTGTCAAAAATATTTTCTAGATGGGGCACCGAATTCGCTTGAAGGTTAACTAAATTGCTTTGCGGTACGCCGAATACCAATGCATATGACGAAGTAATGCACTCTGGCGAAACTGAAATCGCAACTACTGAAAATGAATGCATTCTCTTTTAAATTGCTTGCACTGTTTCGGAGCCGTGTGCACTATTACTGAATTTCATGCACTCGGCCTAAGAAGCGGTGCACTATGCCGAACTGTCGAAATGGTTGCACTATTTCTGAACTGTGTGCACTATTTCTATATTTGGCCGTAAAAAGGTGTACATGGGAACTTCGCCGGGCTTGGGCGCCAAAACGCAGTTTACTTTCTCGATGTTTGTCAGTTTAAATTAACAGTTCTACGTTTTGAGAGATCTCATTTTGTGTTTTAGTGTTTAAAACATGGATCTATTGAGATTAACTGCACATTCATCTATTACTTTCGGTGTAGCGGAGCAGCGTTATTCATGCAACATGCATGAGAGGGAACGTTTGAAAGTATTGTTCCTGGTTCTGCAATGTGGACAATGGACATGCTTCGTTATCTGTGCTGTACTCCACCTCTGAAGTGATACTCTTCCCCGAACTTCTGTATGTTGCAGCTTCACACTGACTGACTACCCTTCTTCGCTTCGTTCCAGGCCGGGTGTCTCACGGTCCGTTCGGCCCGGTACTCGAGCCCGGCCGTTTGGCGATGCTGAGGATCACTCCGGAACTGGACGGCGATGAATACCCGCACGTGGGACCCGTGTGTCTGCCCGATACCAGTCTGCTGCAGGACGTCCACCAGCTCAGGTAACTAGACGATCAGCACCTCCCCACTGTGTCTGACTGCGGTCGTGCGGTGTCATCAGCCGCGACTTTTGGTATTGTGATCGTGAGCGCGCTGTGATGGATTAAGTCGGCGGCACGTAGGAGGCATCGGTGTTAGACTGACGAAACCGTGTGGGCTTAAGTCGTCAGAAATATCTAGGTGCCCGCGATATGGACTAATGTATGTGTGGTAATGTATCGGGATTACTGTATCGCTGGTTGTATGCGTCTTTGCTGTCTGATGCCGCTCTGCGTGCCTCCCCCATGACGCAGAGTTGTGAGCCTTCTGTCGCTCCCTGCCCTCAGGTGTGTGGTGACCGGCTGGCGGGGCGGACTGCAGCCGACCCACCAGCCGTGGAGGCAGCAGCCCAACCCCGACCTGCGGGACATTCTCAGGAAGTTTGAGACTGGTGTGCTGCGGCACGATCCGGACTGCCAGGACCTGGCCCACCACCTGAAACATCTCAAACAGGTGAGCTTGATAAGAGCATTACCAAAATACCGGTTTGGTGGGGGGGGGGGGGGGGGACTCTGCGGCTTACATGCTTAGCTTAGTGCTCGTGCTTCAGTGTATGGTGTAAAACACTTATGTTTTTAAGTACCCAAGATACGAGTACTGCCATACTGAAACTGACTTCAACACATGTCTACCGTTCTCAGCGTCCGCCGCAGCCGCCGCCGTTCGCGCCGCCGTTCCCGGGGCCGTACCCCTGGCCGCCGCGCCCCGTGCCGTTCTCTGTCGAGGGCCGCGACGCACTGGAGCCGCGTGACGGCTTCTCCTTCCGACCGCCGCCGTTCTTCGGAGCCCCGCCGCCCCCGCTGCCGCCGCCAGCCGCCTCTGATCAGCCCGAACTGTTCATCTGCCCGCGAGAGCCGCGCTGCATCGTGAGTAAAACTGAACCGTGAACGCTGACGTGTAATGTATATCTGCAGCACATATGAACCGCGTGCTAGATATATCGAGAAATGTATGATCACTGTTTGACATTCGGTCAAACGTATCCTGATGAACACATACATTAGCGTAAACACCGGATCCTTAAAAAGCACATGATAGTCTTCTCAACGTTTACATTCATACACGTATACTTGAGACAATTTGTGTGATTCCAGTTTCGAGGAGAGATTTGTTCGATTTAACTGCTCGATGTTTAATGCTATTTGAAATACATATTTCCCATTAGCCCCTCGCCTCGAATTTCCTGAGCAAGACGACTACGATTAAAAATAAGCACTTTCAATATCGTGTGAGAACGGAATGTTGAAATATTACGTTTTCACTGCCAGAATCAGCCTATCTGATATATTTCGGTCGGCGTATAGGTTTGTCAGTCGATAGGCGTTCTGACTTTGATATTCTGTTCGCAGCCGGACCAGGGGGCACTGCTGGCCTGTGCGCTGCCGCCACCGCCGCCCCCGCCGCCTCTGCACCGCCCGCCGCTGCCGAGACCGCCGCCCTTCTTCCGCAGCGCCCAGAACGAGACAGAAGGCGACACCGCTACCGCAGAAACCACTACATCCGTCCCCACCGGACCTGTGGACGCCTATGAGCAGCTTTCCAAGGGCTTCCGGCCGCCCGTCGACAAGCAAACGGCTGCCAAACGCGCCAGGCGCAGTCCGGAGTCCGGTGGCGAGCCCTCGGCGCCCGTTGCAGCAGCCGCCGCCTCCGCCTCAGAGGGGGCAGCGGGGTCCGCCTCGGCCCAGGCACCCGTCGAGGGGCCGGGCGCAGGGTCCGCCCGGTCCGCTGCCCCGGAGGGAGACTCTGGCCGGACGGACGGCCGGGCTGCGTTCGTGCTCCCGCACAGTATCATCGGGGCGTTCCACTCGGCGCCTCCGCCGCTGGTGGGCGGGGGCCTGGGCGGCGGGCTGGGGCCGGACACTGAACCGGCCGGTGAGCCCGCCACCGCCGGTAGTCGACACTACGACGCCTATGTGCTGGTCGGAGTGGCCAGCTCAGCCACCGACGGCTGCGTCACTGGACGAATGGTGTTTGACGACATCATCCAGGAGTCTGAGTTCATCCAGCAGGTTGTGCATAGGGGCGGTTAGAGGGCGGGGTGGGGTTAGGACGCGGTGATGAGTCTTAGGACAAACTCATTGAAGGCTGGTTCCAGTAGCTTGGGCTCAATTGGCTGTAAATTGTATGCTAGAAGCCTGTTACAGGGTGTTACGAGAACAATATATTTTATATGGAGCCAAGATATGCATTTTTATCCAGATTAGCGAGCTTGCTCTTCACACCGTTGCAGCTTGAAAGGCGTAATTGCGTTGGAATCCGATACAGTTTCGGCTTTGTGCGGTGGGGAAGGGCTAACGACGCTGACTGGGTCTGGCACAGTGGGCGGCAAACTGTTTACACCAACTCTGGGCAGTAGTCTGATTATCCGCCGTGGGCCGTCTGAAATATGATCGGCTCAACCGCCTGTAGAGAGTCTGGAATTTCCTCTTACTATTTTTAACGTCAAATGTTTTTCCATCTGAATCCAATAATTGACCCAGTGGGCAGTGATGATCGATATGTTTAGCATTTTGGTCCCCCGCGGTATTTACATCAAAAATGGCAGCCAGTACCGGCTTCACCTGTCACGGAGAACGCTCAAAAAATTGAGTGTAGATGCTGGCCGGCACTCAATTTTTTTTTAGCGCCAGCTGACTCGTCTGTCGTGGCGCTCAATTTATTGAGTATCACGGTCCCGAACGACAAGTGGCGCTCAAAAAGTTGAGTTCTTTAGGGCATTTTCTTTCCAAAAACACCGATATAAATTATCACGGCGAGTGTTCGAGAAGAAACCTTGTTGCTCTCTCTTGCCATTGATACCTTATTTGGATACGACTGCCGTAGTGTGACGCTAAAGGCATTGTAAAATACCATCGTTTCGCCTATTCCTTCATAATGGGGCCCGCTCAATTTTTTGAGCGCTCAATTTTTTTTTAGCTTTTCCCCCTTGTGCGTGGGACTGATTCGGAGGACCGACCGATCTAGACGATCGACGTCCGTGAACATGACGTCGGCGGGATCATCGTGGGATAGCATCGTGACATTTCAGGAGATAGCTCTGCGCTGGGGTCTAAGGTAGCGGAGGAAACAAATGTCGTGCTTCAAGTGTTTCGCCGCATTGCGTTTATGCATATTGGAACTCGGGTCAATAGTTTGTCCCCCAGACTTTTTAAAGTTTTATTCTGCTTAGATCGGATACTGTTGCATTCGACCTGGGTTTTGCTACATTAGAAAAGTATAGATAACTGGATGTGGTTCACCATCTTGTGAACCACATCCAGTCGGGCAGGTTCATGCGGCTTGGTCTTGCCCGAATTTGTATGGGGCAACAAGAAGTGCGGACTATTTCCTAGACATTGAATGCTTCCATAAGTGATCAGCGCCTCCAAAAGTACACATCAGTTGTTTTTGGGTCAAGCCAGGTGGACGGTCAGCTCGCCAAAAAATAAGTTCTCCCAATTTTAATATTTTAGGGAAATGCGTCCGTAGTAAGCAAATCGAAAGTCGCGTCACTAAAACATACGCCTAATTAGGAGCCGATTTGCTGGTCAAGTTTTTCCGTTTTGAGACAGGTGATTGCTCGTTACGTTTTGCCCGTTTTATTTGAGCTTCCCGAGCCTCTTCAGTTTGTCCGTCCAGGCGTCCAGCCCCCTCACTCTGTGAACAACAGCAGCGTCGGATGAGCAACAATAACTGCGCAGTATTTTCGCGTTTCAGAGCCTTTCTTTGTTCCGAGACAAACAACTGTATCATGTCCTCACCTCGCTAGCCTTTATTACGCCACCTCACGGAACAAGCAATGAACACTGTCGATGAACACATCAGTTTCCAAAGCGGAATCACCAATCCGTCAGCGACAGCGGCCGTGAGGGCGCCGCCGGGCGCCCCGTCTCAGGCGCCGGCGGTGGACGGATGGGTCGGCCACAGGTGCGAGGGAGGAGGGTGTGGCGCCCACTGCCGCCGACCGGCCGCCCTCCGACCCAGCGTGACGCCCCCGCTCGGCCTCGGCACGCCGCCAGCAGAGCTTTCCGCGGCGCACGTCATCATGGCGGCGGCATCACGGAGAGTCGGACAGCACCTGGGAAAATGTCGAGTACTATTCGGTGACAAATTTGGTAGAATTCGTTCATACTGGGTACAGCCCAGAGCCACGATCGGGAACGATGCAGGCACACATATGCTGCTGCGGTGTCCGCATTGCATTATTTATCGCGCCGGTCGGTTGTCACCACACACGAAAGTCGTATACAACAACCATGTTCGTCATTCCCATCATGTTCGTCGTTCGTCATTCGTCACATGTCTAGTAGGTACATAGCGGGCAGAGGGGGAGGGGGTACGATCACAGCTGACCGGGGCGGCAGCGGAGATGGGGGTCGGGGGGGGGGGGGCACGAGCCGTGCGGGGAGGAGGGGCGGGAGCCGACTCCTCTACCCGCTCGGCTACATGAGGCGCCCACTCGGCCTAATGAGGGGGATGTGGAGGGTGGAGCTGGGGAGGGGGGTACTCACCGGTTCAGCAGCAGAGAGGCGCTCACTGAGCGAGTGCAGCGCGCACTCCGTCTATGATGCGCTGCATCTTCTGGGGCGTGTCCACGTACCCATCACCGTTCTGAAATAGCACACCGCTGAGGTTTACCCCGGACGAGCTCGGATGACGGGCGGGGTGAAGTCATCGGGCAGTCAGAGACGCCACCGTAAACACAGGCCCGTCTAATGAGCAGCAATCGTGACAGGGGCTAAATGAAGGTTGGTGAACTGAAACTATACCGTAAAACGGCGAGCGACGATTGGGTGGATGATTTAGTATCCTGAAACTAATCGTTAATTAGTGTTTGGATCCCCCGCGGTATTTATATCCGGTATTTATATTTATTTATCGCGGTATTAATAGTCGTAGAAGTGCGATGGTAACATATCGTTTCAGACTGGATGCTTATGTATTAACGCTCTAACTTTCCACGGGGCAGAAAAATGTCCCGCCGCATTGATAGCCGTCATTATAAACGGTTCTTATTCAGAACAGCGTAGTTAGGGAAAAAAATTATCACACAGCTACGAGTATAATGACCGGACTTGCAGAAAGTCTGCACTCTGTAGATGAGAACCCACACCCACCTTCTTGGAGTGGAGCAGCTTTCCGCCGACAATTTGCACCTCGAGGTAGCCGGTCACACTGGGGGTGCCCTCTCCGGTCTGAAACGGACCGCGCCGGTCAGCACGAGACAATCGGAGCGAAATTACAATATCGCCAGCCAGTCAGGGTCACATTCCCACATAATGAGCTCGCCACGGGGACTGCCGTCGACGTGATGCGGCTGTCAGCCGGACGTGGATGGGTCCAAGGCCAAGGTCGGTCAGCAGTGGTCAGGTCCGGAGCTGAGGAGGCGGCGGCAGCCGGCCGGCCGCGAGTTCTATGCTTCTAACGCTAATGTGCCCATTCTCTATAGCCTGTCACTGTGCCTCATTCGGACGAAAGTCAAGCTGCACTCTCTCCTATCATCGTTTAAAATGCTGCAAACTGAATAGGTAATGTGAATATTGAAACAGTGACCCTACCTTACACCACAGACACAGAGGTCAATGCAGGTCATGAACGGTCACCAGCATTTTTGTAAAATAATTCGATAACGACACCATAGAGCGATGAAAACACCTCGAATTTATTCAGCTTAGCAATAAAGATAGATCATCGATACGCAAGATGACCTTTCGGGGTCAGGTCATAGCTTTTTGACCCAATGATGAAGGAAAGATTTTAAAGTTGACTTTTCCGGTTCATATTATAATAAATTCGACGCATCTCAACAAGAGAAATACAACGCTGTACGTACAACGCTGGGGAAACCGGCGTTTGAAATCCTTGTGTCAAAAGTAATTGCGGAAAACGTTTTCTTTGAAACGTCTATTTTACGTCTGGTCTCTGAAGGCCAAACCGTTGACCTTAGGTCAAATCTGAGGACATAACCTATAGCGAAAGAGTTTTTAACAGCTCATATGTCTTCCACGACTTTGTAGATCAGTTCGTCTATGAACTTAGATATTTTCTCCAAAAACGTTTAAAGGGACCCTCCCACCTTCAAAAAAGTTAATGAATTGGCACGAAAGTGATGTCCCTTGGTTCAGAAAGAGCGAAAACGAATATCTACCAAATTTCATCGAAAAATATTCACTGGTTTTCAAGATATTAGGCTTTTACTTTTGTTTACTTTTTGGGATCTCCGCTGTTCCTAGCGACTTTATTTGAAAGTGCGGCATTTGTTGCGCGCAAAGCAGTATATACCACCGCGTGCTACCAAACGTTTTAGTAAAAGATTTAAAAATCGTTAGATCTCCGCTGACGTCACAAATTCTAAGGGGGCATACCAATGCATTAGCCCCTTAGAATCCGAAAACTGCAAGTTTGAAATTCCATATCTCCGAATTAAAGCATTTGTCGATGTTGTGAGTGCCCAAACCGGTATTTGCAGGCCATGGCCACCAATTTGGCTATCTCAACTCAAAACTAATGTTAAGGTGGGAGTGTCCCTTTAAGAGCTGAAAAGTTGATTTTTTATTACCTCTGCTAACCCGACCTAATGGAAGATTTAGCGCCTATAAAATTATCTAATTTATGCTCATGGTTTTCACTATTTCATATAATGCAGGTTATGAGTTGTCACTACCTGACAGAGGATCCCGGCATAAGGAGGCGGGCCCTTTTACGCTTTCTGCCTCGATTAGTTATTTTATTTATTTTTGTGACGACCGGACCATCACTCAAACACGGCAATAGACCCGAATATATACCTTCAGTTGAATCGGCTGAATCAAGGACCAGACGTAATAAATTATCAGCATGCTCACTGCCCGCGATATTACGTAGCATCGGGAGACATCAGTAGGCGGAACTATGGTCATGAGTACCCAAATATAGGAACGTTCCCATTTTTGGGAACGGAGTTCCCAAATATGGGAACGAGCGTTCCCATTTATGACTACGGAAGGCAATTTTTCGGCCGTTCGCGCACTAAAACTCATTAGTGCATCACGTCTCGAAAAAGTGCATGCTAATTAACGTCTCTACTAAATCTCCATAAAGTTATCTTTAATCTGACCGTGGAACAAGGAAATTGACCGTGGAATGATATTTTTAATGATTTTTTAAAAATGACAGAATGGTGGAAATATGGGTTATACGACATTTAGCATGCAATTTTAAG